AATGATGGAATTTGCATACAACAACTCCGTCAACCCCTCCACAGGGTTTTCCCCCTTTTTCCTAAACCACGGTCATCATCCCATTGTCCCATCATCCCTCTTGAAACCACCAACAACAGATGTACCGGCTATCTCTACCTTCATTTCCACTCAAGCCTCTGCGTTGGCGCAAGCACAAGACGCAATAGCGACAGCTCAGGACATCCAAAAACGCCAAGCAGATAAAGCACGATCACCCGCCAGGTTCACTGTAGGCGATAGTGTCTTACTGAGTACGGAGCATATCACTGTCGCAGCTCACGCAAACCGACCCTCCAAAAAGTTAGAACCAAAATTCATTGGACCATTCAAAATCATAGAGAAGATCAACGACAACGCGTACAAGCTCGAGCTACCTCCGAACATGAAACAACACCCTGTCTTCAATACAGATTTATTACGACATTATCACGAATCCCCGGAGAATTTCGGCGAACGAGCACCTGCCAGACCCCCACCAGATTTAGTCGATGGCGAAGAAGAATATGAAGTGGAAAAGATTCTGGATTACAAACTATTTGGCAGAACCCCCAAGTGGCTCGTGAAATGGAAGGGATATCCTGACGAAGAAGCAACATGGGAACGGAGATCCTCACTAGTTAATGCAAAAGAAGCACTGGAGGAATTTCAAAAAATGCAACAGTAACACCAAAATTATTTTTCTCTGTTTCTTTTTTCTTTATTTTTCTTCTTTTTTTTTCTCTTCTCTCTTCCTTTCTTCTTTTACTATCTCCTTTCCTCTCTTCCTCTCTTCCTTTTACCTCCCTTCTCTGCCCACTCCAGCATGGTAACAACCGCCATTTCCTCCATCAATCGACGACGTTCCCGTGCTCGCTCTTCTACACTCACATCCTGGGTCTGCAATGCACGAAACTCAAACGCTATCAGCGAAGAACACTCTCTTATCATCGACAGTCTCGGTCCCTCATGACGACTCCTCTTCCGTCGCCTCTCCGGCTCCTCAGGACCATCCTCTCCATCAACAGCTTCCCACTGTGCATTGTCACTCGTCGAACTTACAGAAGCCAAACGGACCCCAGCCCCCTCCACTCCCGACGTCGCTGAAGTACTCGACTCCACATGATCTCTGGCTTCCCTCACAGTTGGCGAATCGCCCACCTCAGGATACTCCTCCTTCGGTAGCATCCGCCCCAAGATTACAGGTGAAAGACGTGGAGACAATTCCAACCTCGTATCTAGCTCTTCCTCCTGAGGCACAGAATAAGGCTGTGTGGCGTCAGGGTCATCTGAAGAACCCTGGGAGCTTGGTACCGCCGACCGCTGTGTCAATACAACTTCAGAAAACACGCCACCAGAAGGAGCACGACCTTTACGCGGTGGCATTGGATGAGAAGCCTTGCGTGAAGACATCATGGAGACTTTTTTCCTTTTTTTTGAAATAAGCAAAGAGGAATGAGGAAAGAATGCAACACGAACTCACCAACTCCATCGCCACTCATTCACCCATCCTCATCCACATGATCTGCATGAACCGCATGACCAGTAATTTTAACCAATCAGACATCACCACATCAATTTTTTTTTTATTTTATTTATTATTTTATTTATTTCTCCTCTCTTCTCTTCGTTTTCTTTATTTCCATCAATTTTTTTTTCTCTTTTCTTCTTCGATTTATGATCTCCTTCATTTTTGACGGGAAGGATGCAAACGTGTTATACAATACTGACTCAAACCTTTGAGGAGGGCTCAACTATCACGCGCACCCCAGGCGCCAAGACGCCAAGCCCAAGTGCCAAGACACCAAGCCCCAACCCTATCAATTATCAGTATAAATAGTCCACTACGTTATAGCCAAATAAAGTATCCTTTGACCTTCGATTCCACCTAAGATCACCTTTGATTGTTACTATTTACAAGCGGAGACTTGTGAATACGCGCATTATCCATTAGGAAAGTATATCCATGCATCTCTTTAGCCTCCAATATCTCAAGGACTTCACAAATGAAGTCCCTAAAATAGGCGCCCGTTGTTGAGCAACCAACTATACCGTCCTCGGACACCTGCGGAGGTCGTGCTGCATTCCTACCACGGCCACGGCCCCCACGACCACGACCATGGCCACGACCACTGTTATCCGGAGCCTCAACTTGATCCTCTTCCCCCACCAATTCTTCATCATCAAGATCCACTGTAGTTACTGACATACAGATAATCCCAGTCGATGAAATTGCACCTACAACGCTGATATTCCTACCACGCGCGGTAGGACGCACAACGTTGACAGGTTTTCCCTTTCGGGACCATCCGTACTCTCGAATCAAATGCAGGTTAAACCCTGCCTCATCAATGAAAATGGTCTTCTTCTCGAAGTCTTGGTGGTCCACAGGGTTCTGCATCTTCTCGGCAAATTTCTCTCTCGCTGTGAGCACGGCGGGGTCATTTCGTTTATCTGAGACCTTTCTGATGCGCTTGAGTGTATACTCACACATATTTGTGACATAGTTGTAGACCGTAGAAAGAGACACTTGGACTTCAGGGAAACTGTCGTGGAGAGCCTTGTGGACTTCCATGAGCGTCGAAAGAGGCTTTTCGTCCAAGAAATCCTCTATGTACTTGTAGTGCTCTGTTGTCAGCTTTGGAACCACTCGGGGCTTCTTGGAAGGGAGCTTGCCTGTTTCCCTGTAATGCTTGATATACCTATAAGAAAATTCCAAATGAGCATAGCTAGCAATAATATTCCGAGGTGTTGTTTAGCAGTGCTCCTATTCGGTTTAAAATTTTGTCAATTGATACATTATTTATTTTTTAATCTGAAACATCATAATTGACAAAATTTAAACCGAATAGGAGCACTGTTGTTTAGTACAAATTGCCATCAAACTTGATTATTACCTCCAAGCGGTCCTTGGATTCAGGTGCACCGCTCTAGCCGCTTCGGCTACTGTACACATGTGATTGGTCCAGTAGTCGATCAGCCTTTGGGAGGCCTCTTCCGGGACTTTAGAATACTCGGTAGGCCTGCTGCGTTTCCTTTTACGGCACATGTCTCTCAGACTTGGCTCCTCAAATTCGAGGGCAGAGTCATATTCAACCTGGTCAAAAGGAGCCCTAGGTGATTGGTTGAGCTCTCTTTCTAGTTCATCCTCGTCAAATTGGTGCTGGGAATAGATACAGGTCATCTTAGGTCCTTTCCCTTTGTTATTGTTTCTGTCAATAGGCTCGCTAGCGACAGATGAACCAATGACAGGGATTTCGGGAGCAGGCGCATCCACGGCAGGTGTACCAAAGTCAAGCTCGTGGCCAGTATATGTGGGAGGTGTCCAAGGATTGTATGGGTCTACCTCATCGTCGCTCTCTTCCTCTGCTATCAATCGACGAGTTCGAGTACGAGACTGTGATGAGGAACCTAGATGAACGAACGAAATGCCGCCATCATAAGCATGACGATATACAGTGGTCATCAAAAGTCATTCAATGAATTAGGAATTTCGACATTCTCATTCCTTTCTCCAATTTGATCTTGCTTGTCGCTAATGAAACTTACGTAGCGAGTTTGACCATCGACAACGTCACTCCTACTACAATGTCAATGAGCTCCTGTTGCTAATTGAAAATTTAGATGAATGCCAATTATTGGCATCTCATTGAATGACATTTGAAGAAAATCAGCAGCTTTGCTTTATTTGTTTTTTTTTTCTGTTCTTCAGCAATGTGTACGAGATCCTTTCATGCGATGTAGCTCCTCTACCCTTCGTGGCATACTTTCATATAGCTCATCAAGGAAGTCAGGTGGAATAGATGTCCAGATATCCTGTAGTCTTTCCCATAGTTCATCCAGATCCTTTGGTACCTTCTCATATCCCTTGAGCCGATGATCCATGTAGGCCCATACATTCTCGATAGGGTTGAGGTCAGGAGAATTTGGAGGCCACTCCAAAGTGGTAATGTGTGACTTAATTAAGAACTCTTTAACCATCCTACTCGTATGAACACTTGCATTGTCCTGCTGAAAAATTAACTTTTCAGGGTCCTGGCCATGCCACTTCCATGAGCCGAGGACATAATCTTGTAGAACATCAACATATAAAGAGGAATCAACTGTGACAGGGATCCTGCAACCATCGCCTACACCATGATAAGTGATACAGCCCCACCACATAAGTTTGTTATGTGCTCCCCTTGATCTCTCTCTAACATCTCGATCTTCTAAAGTCCTGTGGCCGGGTCGCCTATATTGTGTTCTTCCTCCTAAGGACCCTAGCCTTTCAAAAAGCTTTTCGTCCGAGAACATCACTCGCTTCCAGTCATCAACAGTCCAGTCAAGGTGGTTGAGGGCAAAATTCTTCCTTTTCGCAATCTGCATTTTTGTCAGCCTAGGCTTGAATGGGCGGACATAGTTTTTCAAACCCTCTGATTTTACATAGCGTCGGGCAGTCTCTACACTGACATGCACTCCATGGCTCGATCTGATGTATTCTTGAACTGCCAGAATGGATCTAAGTTTCCCCGTATCAACCTCGCGTGCAATAACCCTCTTGGTAGCAGGGGAAACCAATGAGGGTCTGCCCATTCTGGGTTTAGGAATATTGTCCTTGACGTCACTCCTGATCCTTATTGCCGATGAAATAGAGATACCAAGTTGCCTTGCCACTTCGCTTGTAGACTTCCCTTGTCGAAGTAAGGCCTGAGCATTTTGTACCTTTTCCATAGAAAGCGTCCTCATAATAAATACTAAGCGATGTGGAATGTTAATTGTAAGTAGAGGTGTATGAAGATATAGCTGAAGGTAATCTTGGTAGAAAAAAGAGAAGTGAAAAAGTTTTTTTTGCAATCAACATTGAAATTCAGCAGAAGTCATTCAATAGGCAGGTCAAATTGAAATTGGTCTTATTTCACAATGAAGTCATAATTAGGAATGAGACATCAAAGTAATCATGAGGTGTGGGGAACAAATGCACTACCCCAAATATACTAGCCACATGCTAGATGAGAATGAAGAAAAGGAATGAGAATGTTAAAAATTCAAAATCATTGAATGACTTTTGATGACCACTGTAGATTTTGAAGATGGGGCCTGGAAGAGCTACTGTTATACCCCGAGTCCTGTGCGCGCGGCTGAGGGGTGGCAATATCGCTATCTTTTCCTTCGGTTTTGATCTCACTAGCCTATTGTATATCGCGGAACGCAGAACAAATGTTAATAACCAAGAAGATGAAATATTTTTAGGGTTTGAAACTGACAAGATCACACATACACTAGAGCTATCATCCCAGTTCAAGACGGCTTTCTGAGCCTCGAGGTCAACGTAGAACTCTTCGTCATCGGTGTCAACCAAGTTGATAATTTCAGGTTGGTTCTTGCTAGATGCCATAGTGAATGTGGTTTTGGTGATTTGGAGTGTTGAGGTGAACTTGATTGAAAAATCTAAGCGGTGGTAACTTTGGTTTTTTTTTTCTTTGAACCCCACTTCCTTTTATACATGGGTCCCTCAATGCAAGGAAACTACCATTGCCTTCTGGTATTGTGCCAACGCGCCAACGCGCCATGCTCTTTACAACGCGTTTTTTCTTTTTTTTTTTTTTTTGAATTCCAAGAAAAAAATTCAACGCGGTGGATAATTTTCAGGACGCGCCGATAAAATCACAAGGTTCCATGGTTGTTTCCGCATGACCTTCTGGAATGTTTGAACTGCATGGTTGGACAAAATTTGTAAACACTCGGATAAATTTCTCCACCCTTTTCGGCTAACTTTTTAACTTAACTTTGGACAACTTTTTTATTCATTGGAGAAATGTAAAATAAACATAGAGAAACTTTATTTTTACTTAGCGAAAACAATTAAAAACGCTGTAGTGTATAACGAGACAAGAATGAGGATTTTCATTTTCATAATAGAAAAGAGTATTTATAACTCTTTTCTATTATTGTATGTCACGGGGATTAATATTAATGTAAATTAGCTATATAGTAAAAGGTTTTAGGTGATTATGGCGCACCTAGTATCATGAAAGAAGATTTAATATCACTTTCTATGGGTTTTGTGCGGGTCAGTTTTTGTGTTAGTATCACTTGCATCTTTATTTATGAATGCCGATGCTTGTGTTAGTATCACTTGCACATTTATTTATGAATGTCAACTCTTTTGTTAGTATCACCTGCATCTTTGTTTATGAATGTCTACAGTCCTGATGATAGGTGTGCATAGGACACTCCAAGCTGTCAATGCTGCGCATGGTTGGAATACCATTTATTGATACAAAGTTATGGCTTGTAAAAGAATAAAGATCAGTGGTCCCCCAAATGGGCACCACCGAAAGGGAATGAGTGAGCTAATAGAGGGAAAAAAAAAAAAAAAAAAAAAAAAAAAAAAACCACTTAGTTTGTCAAATGAGACAGGCCAATGTCACACTGCATAACTACCACGTAGAAGAAGACGGAAGCTTTATTAATGTAAAGTATGAATACTGTATACATACACAGCCCCTAGGAACGAGAAAAGGATTGAGCAATGGAGTGAATTATTCGTTCAGTTTGCATGTTAGTGTTTAATTGTGTTCGGACTATGTAAAAATTCTTGCGTGTAAATCGGAGGAGGGTTCATTACCTCAATACCTCCAAGACCATCCCATGATACACATCTCTATTTCGCGACACCCACATCTTCCCCTTCTTCTGCTTCCCCTTTATTCCTATCCACCCAGAGTGTACAGGAGAGGCGATTATTGGATCAAACATATTAAAGCTCTTCAATTGCACTACAAACAGTAAGACAGTAAGAGGATGTACATCTATCAAAGATCCATAGATCTCCTTCTGATTGCTAAGAAGACTTTAGCGTAGTGAATCGTGGATTTATTAAAGAACTTCTTAATTCCAATTGTCGTTGCCTTTTTTTTTTTTTTTTTTTTTTTTTATTGCTTCTTTTTCGCAGAAGCGGGTGATGAGGATCCACTGTTTCCTGTTGAAAATTTCGCAAGTGTAGCGGCAATATCAGGCATCTCAAAGTTCGGCATCTGGGCCGCATCCTGCATCCCTTGCATTTCCTGCATAGCTTCTGGGTCTATTTTTTTTTTTTTTTAAAAAAAAAAAAAAAAAAAAAAAATCATAAAACAGAATAATGTAAGGTTAAAGAGAAGTCTGTTAGAGAACAAATCCGAAATATTTCAAACTTTTGTTCTTGAAATAATTAAAGAAGATGAATCCGTACCCATATTAGCCATCAATTTTGGCATGAGGAAAAGCATCAATACACTGAAGCCCATCATAAGCATCATTGGGTTAGCGAACAGGTGTGACAACTTGAATCCTTCACGAGGCTAATATCAGTCAATAATTTTATAATAAAAAAGGAGAGGATATTTATCATTAGTCTCCCAACAGCTCTTAATCTGATATTCATATCAATAATAACTGCATAGGTAGTCGTTTTTTTTTTTTTTTTTTTTTTTTTTTTTTCTCTCTCTTCATCCTTACAATAAAGTATGACGCCGCAGCCCGTGGAGCAAGAGTTAGTGGAAACTGAAGACTATTATCATTGTTGGACCAATCGGCTCCCAAGCTGACCATGTATGCTCGGGATTCTTTTTCAGTGACATGCACCTTGATCTAACCGGGCAATTGATTCAAATTGGTTGTTAGTAAAAATAATAATAGTGATAATAGTAGTAATAATAATAATAATAATAGTAATAATAATAATAATAAAAAGTCAACATGGTCCCTTATCCCTTGGCTATCAACATACAGTTGGGTAAAGATATTGTGGACTCTCAACTTGAAGGAGGTAACTTCCTTCCGGTACGTTAGGGCTACCAACAATAATTAAAAAATAAAAATAAAAATAAAAATAAAAATAAAAATACAAACGCAAAGATTAGTTATACTTTTCCATTCCTATTCTATAAAAGAAATACCAAAAACTTTTTCTATCGAGGCATGTATTTTCAAACTCGATTGCTTACAAAGTGAATCTACCATCCTTCATGACCATTGCAGTATGCTCGCCTCCGCTGAGAATAACACGCGTCCTGGGGGAGAGATCTATCCGACGAAAGGAGATGATGACAAGGACAATATTGGATAGCAGTATCCATTTGGTCAGTTACACTACCAATGACAATGACAGTATCCTATGCGGAAAGCTATGGCTGATGATATATATATGTACCTCTTGGTTGGAAATGTTCCGTTGGCCCAACGACAATTCCTGAAAGTTGTGCTGCCCTGACAACAGAAGCCGCCAAACTGAGCATAAAGGAGAAGATGAGAGAAATATGAAAGGAAAGTAAAAGAATGAGAGAATGAATATCCTTGCAACTTTCTAGCCAAATGGTTTTCTGTTTCTTTTTTTTTTTTTTTTTTTTTTTTTTCCTTTTTCATTTGTTGTATTCCATCAGATGCTTCTCATCTACGTCCTGTTCATGTTGATCGACTGCATTCATTTGTTGGACAACTTTTCTTATCATCGTCATTATTGAGCTTGGCGTATGTACCTGACGAAAACTGCAGAGATGATAAAGGTACGGCTTGACAAGATACTTCTCATGTCGCGATATGTGGTTGCTTGTATGATTTTGGACTGGAATAAAACTGAACTTGATCAAGTTCTTTTACATGATGGACAACCTGTAGACGTGACTGCGTTCATTTCAGATCGCTTTTGTATGTTAATTTTTTTTTCTTTCTTTTAAGGCCATGAGAACCTGTTGAATATGAATCTTCCCATGCTTCCAATCCTTCCCATGATACCTGCAGTTCCGCAGTAAAAAAAACTCTTAAATAGACCATCATAACTCCAATATGTGTTGTATTTGCATCTAGTTGATAAATTGCTTTTTAATTAACGAAGATGCACAAGTCTAAGTCTAACTTTCTTTTGGCACCATCTTTTTCCATCTTTTTTTTTTTTTTTTTTCTTTTTATTAAGAGCTAGCGAACCGAGCAATTGAAGCAACGACGTTTAACTAAATGATGAAATAGCAATCTAGGTGTGGGAATGTGTAAATATCTCTGGTTAATCCCTGATAATCATCTTCCCTCTGGTACCCCCTGTGTATGTGTAACTTCGCATTGTCCTTTCACACTGGTCATTCCGTTGTGCTCACTTTTTTTCATTTAAAAAAAAAAAATACAGAACCTAATTTCCTTTTTGTCCCCCTTCTCCCATCCTTGCATTCATCCCATACACACAAATACACACACGCATACCCTCTCTTCATCAGTCGTTTCTCATTCTCTTGCCTGATATACACTCATTGTCTCCTGGTCAAAGTACTTGAGCACCTTCGCAACCACATCCGAACCATAAAACATTCATGGACCTAGAGCAACATGCACAAGTCATAAATAGAAACGATACACACAGCATAACAACCTCACCGAGAGTTGTGTCCAAACCACGTTCCTCCTCCTCTTCTTCTTCTACTTCTGGTTCTTCTGTCTCTTCTTTTTATCCCTCCCCCTCTTTTTCACCTTCCTCCATTCCCTACTCAAGGCATTCTCACCCCGCACATCCATCGTTTCTTACTCCGCCCTCCTCTAACGAGCATGATCATTCACAAGAATCTACCATTCATCCATCTAATTTAATTACTAATCGAGACGAGTCTTTCAGCATAAACTGCAAGCCTACTATCCCCGACTGCACTGACACCATAACGATCGCCGAAAGCAGCTACACCAACGACAACTCAACTATCACCAGTAATAATAGCACATTTATCGACAGCGGCAACACCCATTGTCAACAAAGCAATTGCTCCCATACACCATTTGATGATAATCACGCCCCCTCACACCTGCAGGAACACACACTGTCTATGACAAAATCAGGATCGGACACAGGGGCGAGAACAGGATCTGGGACAACTGGGCCAAGGGTAGTTCTAAATACAGCTTCAGTCTCAACGCCAACGCTTCTTACAGATGTTGACATATCTTCAGCTGGGGGTAGTAGAACTACACTCGAACCAGAATCAGGCCCCTATCCTTCCTTTCAATCCTTCTTCTCTGCCCCTTCCTCTCAAACGGAACGAGGTATCAGTTTTGAACAGATGTTGATGGCCAACTCGGCTGTCAATTCTCGTACAAACTCAGGAACGAGGGAACACTGGCGTCATGGCTTGAAAGGCGAATCTGATAGCAGAATACCAGAGTCATCTCGACCCCGTTCCCGTTCAACTCCAAAATTCTCGCGTGGATGGAGTGGATCTCCGATGAAACCAATTGGTAACGACATCTTGGAATCTATTGAACCTCACGATAATAACAACGGTAACGGCAACAGTAACAGTAATAGCACCAGCAAAGTTGTGGTGGACGCAAATTGTGATCCTATACCTTCTCCCAAACGTGTCGGTTCACCAGCCAGTGATCCTTCCTCAATCAAGACCATTCTATCAGTAGCAGGGGTGATACCAGGAACAAATCGAGAGGAGAATGAGGAGGAATGCCTTGATTATCAGCTGAAGGGTCGAAGTCGTCTCTCGCGCGGATATTCTGATTCCACCCACAATTGGACTACTGCACAGACTTCCCCCACCTTAGATCATGAGTATATTATTGGGCAGCGTTCAGCATTAAAACCAAGAGTGTCCACATCATTGGGTCCACCGGGCTCATCAGCAGCCAGTAGGAGCAACTCATCAGAGGTACTGCCTCTATCAGAGTTTCTGTCGCAGGGACCGATGGATAGTCCTTCTAGGGAGACCAATGCTTCTCCTACTGATAGCCTCAATCAAAAGATGGACAGTGCTCTCAACGCCTATCGCCTCTACAATCCACCCTCATCACCTCCGCCTCCACCTCTGCCAGTGATGCTACCTTCGACCTTTGAAACTGGAAAAGTTCCAATAACAACAGCTACGGGCGAGTTTTCAGGATATCAGCAATATCCGCCTTCACATAGGGATGCCAAATATAGTAGTGTTGGTCATTCAAGAATGTCATCTCAAGATCATCGCACAGGCATAGCTGGATCAAGCTTTAGCCGTGACACGCACCCCTCTGGCACAGACAGTGGAGTTATGGCGAATAGTCACCATGGACATGAGGAGGATGATAGTCTACAGCAAGGGAAGCCCATTCGGAACTATAAAATCTTTCCAGGACAAAATATATTCTTGTGCGGGGGACGTATCATGACCAGTCGAGATTTCCCAGCGTTTATCGTTGCTATTATGTTACTCCTGGTGCCCACAGGACTATTCCATGGTTTTGCGTGAGTGACTATTGTCATAATTGATCTCTTTTAATCTACTTTTGAAATCATTATCAACGCTTGGTTCAATCTAATAATAAGAGTCTTTTTTTTTTTTTTTTTTTTTTTTTTCCTCGATAGATCACCGTATCTATGGAATAGGCTAAGCCCTGCTGTGCCCATCATACAAGCTTATTTATTCATAATCACATTTTCATCCATGCTCAAGACATCGTGGACAGATCCTGGAGTACTTCCTCGAGGGATTGATGGAGATCCCCCGGTAGATACGCCCATGTCGTTTGACAACAGTGCCTCGTTTTATCCACCGAGAGGTCTACCACGTCTGAAGGAGGTACAGGTTGGCATGTATACTGTTCGACTCAAATACTGTGATACTTGTAAAATCTATCGTCCCCCTCGATGCAGCCATTGTCGTCAATGTGATAACTGTGTTGGTAAGTGGCTAGGGAAGGGAGAGCTAAAAAAAAAAAAAAAAAAAAAAAAAAAAAAGAAAAAGAATCACCCCTATTATCAAAAAAAAAAAAAAGATGCTGCGCTATTACCACACCACTCATTCTTATTTATTTCTATTTTTATTTCATGTTTTCGTTTTCCATAGAGGACGAAGATCATCATTGTATATGGCTCAATAACTGCATAGGTCGTAGAAACTATCGTTACTTCTTAATATTTGTCACCGCCGCTGCCATCTACGCTCTATACACCTCTGCAATGTGTTTAACACATTTGCTTTTATTATATAATGATCAAAAGAACAAGACGGGGAATTCGAGGAACGTATCGTTTCAGAACGATGCTCTTGCAAAGGCCCCAGCCTCGGCTCTGGTGATGATCTATGCTTTCATCATGGGATTAGCTGTTGGTGCACTAGCATCCTACCACTTTTGGTTGGCCACGAAGAACAGGACAACGCATGAACAGGTAATAAAATAACAATAATAATAATAATAAAAAAGTTAATTAGTTCACTTGTATAATCACTGCCAAGTAGCAATACTGACCTTAATCTTTATTTATTTATTTATTTATTTTTCTCCTACTTGGACAAAAAAAAAAACCAGCTTAGTGCATCGATGATGGGACCACATCTAGTGGAGAATCCTTACGATCGAGGCAGCATCTTTGCAAACTGTGTAGCTGTTTTCTGCAGACCACCTACCCGGAGGTATGATAATGTTGTTTTTTAAAAAAAAAAAAAAAAAAAAAAAAAAAAGAATCATCATCGTTAATATTTCATTGCTATTCTTTAATTTAAATAGCTATATCCGGAGGAGGGACTACACCATAGCATAACCATTAATTTGTTTAAAAAAAAAAAAAAAAAAAAAAAAAAAACTCAATTAGCCATATTACGCCACCATGAAAGCAGTCATAGAATTATGAACTCGAAAGTTTAGCTTTCTGTTCTATGAGCTCTTATGAGCTCTGCCACGTTTAAGACTATTCTCCACATTATTCATTATTACGAACATTTGTAAAAAAAAAAAAAAAAAAAACGAGAAAGAAGAAAAACCCTGTCTTCATCCCTTTTTGTTTCCCTCAGTCAGAATAAACAGGTGCGATAGAGGAAAGAAACAGTCCAGGACCCCCCTAAAAAAAATACAAAATAAAAAAAAAAAATTCAGATGAGCTATGTTCGGGTGAATGAGTCCAGCGACGGCGAAGACGATGAGATTTCATCCACACCTTCTACTCAGATCCGGAGGGCGGGGTCCGCAGCAGCAGCTTCACTGGCATCGTTGACAGGGTCGAATGCCCTGAATAACTACGGATATTCTCGAGTTGGTCAAAACACAACTGAGGATGCAAACCAGGAGAGACATGACTTGCCACAACAGAAGAACCATGAGGAAGAAGAAGAGGAAGAAGAAGAAGAGAGCAACCAGAAAAGGAATCAAGACAGGAGTGCTAATGATAATGACATTGAGATACATGTTCGCTTTGGAGAAGGTCAGGATTTGAGCTTACGTGTCCCACGTACAGACACAGTTGCTCAATTCAAAGAAAAGGTATGTCGTGGAATGGAACTGAAGTCGGCTCTCTATAAACGAAATACTCCAATCTTTTCACTTTGTCTATTAGGTTCAAATACCCTAGTGTTTGTCTACTGGATCAAGTAGATAACGGGTACTTTGCAATATACTATGGCCTAACTTGCATTTTTTTTTTTCTTTCTTTTTTCTTTCTTTTTTCTTTCTTTTAGGTTAAAAAAGCAAGGCCATCAATAGGAGATAAATATTTACGTCTGATCCATGCAGGAAAAATCCTATCCGATAACAAGACGTTGATTGATTCGCTGCCAAAGTCTCTATTTACGCAGATCGAAGTATCTAATCATCAGGATCTCCAATCAAGGATTTCTTCATCGGTAGAGGCTGTAGAGGCAGCTGCAAGTAATATCCTTGCAGGAATATCATCACGGACTAGTGGAGGTGAAAGTGTAGGAGGCAGCCATAATGACAATCACGGGAAATCGAATGCTATCAGGACACATTCCTCATTGGGATCCATTTTGCCAACACATCTTAGTCATTCATCCCATCCTGAAGCCAATGCTTTATCGAGAGGAGGAGGAGGAGGACCAAATTCAAAAGCAGACCCTACAACACATTCAAACTCAAGAACGGGAGATCACATCTCAATATCAATGCCCATAGAACCTTTACCAATAACACCATCATCACCATCAGCGCATACGAGCTTCAAAACAAGTAACAAAAAGAATACTAGTACGATACCCGTCCAGACCGGACCTATTTACTTTTTATGCTCCCTATCCGATTTCCCGCCTGCACAGAGGCCCAGTGAAGTTAAAAAAGGGAAGGCTGTTGCGCACGATAATAGCGATAGTGGTAATGGCGTCAGACGGACGGAATCGAGTCGGTCGAGGAGTCGGCGGCTACAGACAAATAACAATATTCCTGTTCCATCACAATCCACCAGTGCGGCAGCGGCTAGGGCGGGTGCATCTTCATCATTAATGTTGCCCGGTGCAAGTAGTAGTAGTAGTAGTAGTAGTGGTGGTAGTGGTAGTAGTAGTTCAGCGGCCAATAGAATCAGCAGCAATGGAATACGAGAAGTTCAGGAAGAGGATGATCATGACGAGGTTTCTCCTCCATCACCTGTTGCGACACCACAACCGATAGGGTTTGATCGTTTACGGGAGGCAGGGTTTAGTGAAGATGAGATTCGATCTATTCGGAGGCAATTCCATGCGAACCGTGGAACGGTCACGTCGAACGTAGGCGAGAATGGTATTGCGGTGGAGCTAGATGAAGATGAGGATGCTATAACAAGGGCTAGGAGAGTCGAAGAAGAATGGATTGATCAACATGGCTCGGAGACTCTTCCTGAAGGATGTAAGTTTTTTTTTTTTTTTTTTTTTGGTTTAACCCCTATTCCCTAATTTTTTATTTTTGGCGAAAATAAGTTTTTGTAGAGTTTTTCTTATTGATTTTTTATGTTGTATTGAATGAATGATTGATTCATTTTAGTGGAAGGAAGCTATGGCGAGATGGTATGGGGGCTAATGATAGGGTTCTTTATGGGCCTAATCGCATTGTTTTGGTTCAAAGAAGCGACGTTTTCGCGGAGACAACAAATGGGTAAGTTTAAAAGATGATGATCGTGATGTTGTTGGGTGTAGATGTGTGTAAAGACCAGTGTTCACTGACATTTAGTTTTTGGTGCTTGTACCACAATACTCCAAAAATATGGGTATGTGGTATTAGGTATTGTAGCAGGACTCATGATCAATGTTGGCTTTGGGGTATTGCATCTTTATTATTGAGGTTGACAATGACATTGGATATGGAATGATGGAATGATGGAATGATGGGTAGAAAAACCCCTTCGCCTAAAAAAAAAGTATTAATCCATGTATAACTTTCAGGAGAAGAAGATACAAAATATACAACTGTAGACTATAAACAACCAAAAGGATTTTTTTTTTTTTTTTTTTTTTTTTTTTTGGATGCATCGCCCAAATTATTTTATTTTGGTATGCATGCGGACTGTGGCTTTGGGTGGTTATCCCTTACATGTAATATGAACGTATTGCATGATAGATACTTAATAACCTAATCTGTCTAATCTGCCTAATCTGTGGATCTTTTTTTGGCCGTTTTTAATTCTTTTTCCTTCTCTCTCTCTCTCTCTCTCCACCTCCACCTCTTTTCTTTTTTTTACTATTTAATTGTTCATTGTTAAGTTGTCTTTCTTTGCTTCTTTCTTTTTCCATCCCAACTTCTTTGCCTATTTTATCGCCATTGCTTAATCTTTTTTTTTTTATTTTTTTTTTAACTTTTTACCACACGCCACCAATCACATACGATCGATCGATCACCTTACCACCTCTTTGGCTTACACCTCTTTTTTACTTGAACCCACCCTCCCGCTCTCTCTCTCTCCCTCTCCTTTTCCTTTTTTTTTAAGAAAAAAAAAAAAAAAAAGCTCTCCCTTTCTCTTCGCTCCTCTCCTCTCTTTTTCCCTTTCAATAACCTTTTCTGAACGAGTTTCTTTTCTTTGAAAGACTACCCATTGTATATTTCCTCACTAATTACCAAGCACAGCTTTTCTTTTTAAAAAAGAAAAGAAAAAAAAAAAACTTCCCATTCACAATGTCAACCCCATCACGCCGTCGTCTGATGAAGGACTTTAAGCGCTTGCAGAGTGACCCTCCAGGTGGCATCTCTGGTGCACCATGCTCCGACAATATCATGTTGTGGAACGCAGTCATCTTTGGACCAGGTAAACTCTATATTTCAATGGAACAATTTTAAAAACTGATTTCAAATGTAGACATTAATGAATGAAAAAAAAAAAAAAAAAAAAAAAAAAAAAAAAGTGAATGGACATGTAAAAGAGGAAACATGGAAAGTGAACAAATTGCTCTTTATGGCATAATAATAATAATAATAATAATAAAAAAAAGGTCTCAAACATTGGAGTTGAAGAAGCCCATATTTTTTTTTTTTTTTTTTTTTTTTTGCCCAGCCCAAAAGGGATCAAAGGTCGGGGATATGAACATTGGATTCTATCATCATCGCCTTATCCTTTCCTTCTTTGAGCCTTTACATTTACAAACACACATACACATGGAAGAGAAAAAAAAAGAAAAGAAAAGAAAAGAAAAAAAAAGAAAAAAAAAAAAGGCCTAGCCTGGAATCTTCGTTGAGAGAGAGATTGAAAAAACGTGCTCTGGTTAATAACATTCATAAAGGGGGCTTTGACTACTCCACAGCGGAAAGAAAGAGAGGGGAGATAGATGCTCTATTGGTTTGTTTTGCCAATGCATAATAACCACCACGGATGCAATAAATGGGTTATTGGCGCCTTTTTTTAATTTATTTAGCCGGTGTCCTTCATATTTGAATTTGGCTCTATATCGTTCTAGGTTCGTTTTTTTTTTTTTTTTTTTTTTTTGCTTTGACTGATCACTTTTTTTTTTTTTACCTTTATACAAAACAACATAGGTGAAACACCCTTTGAGGATGGAACATTCAAATTGTTACTCCAGTTTGATGAGACGTATCCGAACAAGCCCCCGACGGTCAAGTTTGTGTCAAAGATGTTTCATCCGAACGTGTATGCGAATGGGGAGCTGTGTCTGGATATCCTACAGAACCGATGGTCACCCACCTACGATGTGGCTGCGATCTTGACCTCAATCCAATCACTTTTACATGATCCCAACCCCAATTCACCTGCAAATGCAGAGGCTGCAAATCTGTATCGCGAGAACCGAAAGGAATACACGCGTCGTGTCAGAGAGATTGTAGAAACTTCATGGGAGTCGTAGAAATTATATAATAATACAGTTGCACAATAATAGTAATAAAAAAAAATCAATTGCTGTTGATGTTGATGCTGATGTTGATTTTGATGTTAATGTCGATTTTATTTTATTTTATTCTATTTTATTTTATTTTATTTTATTTTTTATTTGAAAGGGAACAGGACAGAGAGAAATGATTATTAAAGCAAACCAGTGCTTTTTTCTAAGCATTTTCCTTACCACAATTCCACAAAAGCTTCTATATCAATCTTCAATCTCAAGTAAATACTCTAATTCAAAAGCAGATGCACAGCTACTGAAGGCACACCGTTGTTCAGGACATGGATGTAGTGTGGACCTGGAGGCATCAAGTTGGCATTAGGAGGCATGGCTACGGAGTAAGTGATCTTGGTACCATCCTCACTCGACTTTGTTGCCACCAACTTGATCATTCTCTGTGACATGTGAGTGCTATGGGTCACAAAGCCACGTCGGCCCAATATAAAGGTGATCTCGGGCTCGTACTTGTCCGTGGCCTTGATGTCGATGGTAATATCGAGCTTTTGATCATAGGTCACCATCTCTGGGATCTGGCTCACAATCTCGGGTCTGTCCAGATCAGTGGTCAGATAAGGAGGAGTGAAGGATTCAACACGATATTCAGTAGGGAAGGGGACGTTCTCATATCGGACCTCCGAGTTCTGGTTGGATCCGGCCACAAAGACAGTACCGTCGGGCAAAAGTGTAGCAACGGAGTGATACATACGTGCAATATTGCTAGGCACCCATTCTGTGAAACGCTGACCGAGAGGAGCCTCAGGATCGTAGACAACGGGAGTGTAGATTGGGTTTGAGGCACGAAGGAAACCAGCGTAGCCCTGTTGAGCACCGTTGAGGAGCATGATCTTTCCATCTGCCAGGATGACTGCATCGGACATGAGACGGGGGGTGGGCATCTGATCCATCTCCCATTGAGGGTCATCCGCATGGAGATTGATACGACCACAAGATTGCAGAGCGTTAGCACGTGTGGACATGGCCTCGGATCCACCGCAGACCAGGATCTCGTGTTGATAGTTCTTTGCGGGATCCAGGGGCAAGAGGACATGGGATCCTGTGAGGGGATAGGAACGGGGACCACCAGGAATATCGGGCAACCGTTTGACCTCTTGTTGGGTTTGGACATTGTAGATGACTGATTTCTGATTGGCAAAGATGTAAAGATTACCATCGGGCAAGGTGTAGACATTAGGGTACAAGTTGTTGGGCATGGCATCGATCATGAACTGCATCAGAACAGGTTTGTAATCCAATGGTTTGGGGTAGAGTTCCCAGGTCGGGTTATTGGTCGCCTGTCGGTTGATCGCCAGGGATTCGTTGCTTCCTCCGAGGACAAAGAGATCTCCAGAGGGCAAAGTGGTGATGGAGACATACCAACGGTTACCGGTCATTTGCCATGCAGGATCTGCAGGGTTCTCAATAAAGGTGCAAGAACCATCATCGCACGGTTGCCACATTCGAAGAGATTGGAAGCCTGCCGAAGTCTCGAACGTACGGGAATTCTAACAGCCAAAAAAAAAAAAAAGTCAAGTCTAAATTAATTGGATACAAGAAATAGTATAATAAATAAATAAATAAAAATAAACAACTTACGCGAGATTCAGCACCACCAGCACTGATCAAGGTACCATTGGGTAAAAAGCCTCCACCGGAGCAGAAGGTATTTGTGGCTACGTCGACAACTCTGTAGTCATTCTTGATGAGATCATATTCGACTACATGAGCGGCTTTACCGCTGGGGAGTTTTGCAGGGTTGTTCTCGGCCTTGTCAATGATGAGCATCTTTGTGGGTGTGACAAGGGCGATGTGTTGAGCCGCTACTCCAGAACTGTTACTCACGATCTTGAAAGAGCCCTTGGGTAGGGTAGGGACGGGTTTTGGTTTTGGTTGAGTGCCATTGTCGTTGGAGTTATTATCGTTGTTGTTGTTGTTGGCTGAAGGAGCTCCATAGTTGTAACGAACACATGCACCGTTGAAACTGGCTTCTGCATCACAGCCAGCTCCGCAGGCTAAGGCAGAGTTTCCACAGTGACCATGCTATTTTTGTATTTGAATTAAAAAAGTTTTTTTTTTTTTTTTTTTTTTTTTTTGACTGGTGAGTTGGATATTGCTACTGACTATTTCAGGAACCATTAAAAAAAAAAAAAAAAAAAAAAAAACTTTTGAAGAGGACAATAGAATAGGATTGGAGAAGAGAGACAGAGAAAGAGAAGGAAAAGAAAAGAAAAGAAAGGATGAAGGGAAGGATTCAAAAAAGAAAAGTTGATTGGAGTAAAGGAATGAGTAGTGCTTACAAGACTGCAACAGGGAGTTTCCATTGGACAGGCAAGACCGTTGTTGTATCTGCAACCAGCAGCATCAGCGGTCCAGGTCAGGGACAGGACCGAGGCCGCGACCAAGAGAGAGATGGTGCGGAATAAGACCATGATGAACACTCTGTGAGAAATAGAGGATTAAATAATAGAGTGAATGCGATTAGGCGGTTGGAGAAGTGGCTGTGTGGGTTGCGTCGATGTAGTTTGTCGTGAGGAAAGGAATGGAATGGAATGAATATATGCCGTGAGAGAAGAAATAAAGTAGATTGATTAGATGAATGGGATGGAATGCAAATAAATGAAAATGAATGATGATTGAATCAGTCTATGGTGTCGAGTGGATGGAAACACAGAGGAGTGAAGGAAAGAAAAGAAAAGAAAAGAAAAGAAAAGGAAAGGAAAGGAAAGGAAAAGGAAAAGGAAAAGGAAAAGGTAATGGGAAAAAAGGATGTTAAGCAAAGTGAAGATTAGATATTTATATATCTTATGCTATACATGTTTAGTTATAAAAATATTCATCAATGTGGACCAACAAGAGACCAGCAAATGGACTAAAATGATGGAGGGATGACTATGGCGTTCTTCTTCTTTAGCTTTGAGGCGCTGCTGGTCCCACATGTTTAAACTCGGCTGAGCAACATTAAAAAGCAGACGGGACTATTTTTAACTCCTCCATTCAAACATGTCTTTATATACTTTTACTTGTTGTTATTCTTACATGTATGTATATATATATATACATGGACATGTTGTAGGGAAAAAGATCTTCGAATTTGTTCCTTTTCTTTTCCTCTGTTCTTCTAGACATGTCCAAAAAAGAAACGCCCAAAAGACTCTCTTTCTTACTCATCATCAAAGGGTCGGTTCTTTGTGTCAAAGGATTATTTTTACTTGTAAAACAAGGAAGATCCTTTGCCCGATCCTAGATATAGAAATGAACTGATATGCTGATTATACCGATTGACTGATTGTACTGATATGATGTGGCACGGGCACGGGCACGGGCACGGGCATTATCCTCGATCCCCGTCATCATGACTATTTTTTTTTTTTTTTTTTTGAACCAGATTTCGTGTAGCATCAGCATCATTACTCTATACACGCCCATTGCCTGTTCTTCAAAGGTTTCTCATGCCCCCTATTTTGTCTCCTGAACATGTTATTCTATCTTGTTCCTTGTTTATATTCTATATTCCAACTTGCAACCAGCCCATCAACATCAGCTGGACACATGTCGTTGGCGACTGTTCAGACTCCATATGATACTGTATAAACACCTGAACACTGCCACATGTCATTGACTACTCTACGTTCCCTTAAACAATATTCTTAGGATACATCTGAACTTTTGCAAGGGATGTATTGATGCTTCGACAAACATGTAGCAATTAATGGCTATATCACAGCCCTTGGATTGTGGAAGCGCTGAAATTATGCGGAAAACGGGAACCATTTGTGTTTTTACTAGCAACAAGCGTGCTTTCAAAAAGTTTGCTCCAAAGAACAGATCCTATATCCTTCATTGCTCAAAAGTAACAATCTTGTCTTTTCTGCACCCTAAAAGCGCCCCATAGTCCCATTGAGGCGTTCAGAGGCATTATTTGCCTCATGGCTTGAGGATTAGCAGACTTTCAGTCAAGTTTTATTGGTTTGAACATCCTGTCCATTCGAAGTTGTCTCTCTGGATGGCAGCACCTATTCAGGGCTAATCAATTCCGCTAGATACGATTAAATCAAGGGGGATTTGGAAAACCAACAGGCATCGAACAATCGCCTTAGCAAGTGAGTGAGGACCTTCTCTGTGGCGCGCACGGACCATGGGGGCGACTTTTCAAATTCTTTTATAGAGATGAAATCCAAAGTCGCCCCAGTTAATATTTTAGCGTGTTATTAAATTTCTATGACAAGCCTTTTTATAGGATTAAGAACTATATATATTATGTATTACTGTATACTGTGACGAAAATTCTAAGTTGGGATATTTTTAAAAAGTTTCTCTTTGAGCTCGTCGAAGCTGACATGAAGAAGATCTTTGTAATCCTTGATTAATCCAGTGTGGTTTGCTGCACCAGGGGAACCACGCATGTAAACTATTTTAAATCCAGTTACTGGCTCTCCATCCTTTTTGACAACAAAATGCCCATCGTCAATTATGGCGGAATGATTACCTCCAAATACTTCGTCCAAATAGCTTTCAATCTGATTTCTGCCGTCGGGACCTCTCTTATCAAAAGCGTTCTGGATTTGCTTAATTTGTTTCTTCTCGTGTTCTTGGAAATTACTTATGGACACCTGGATAAACATTGTGTCGAGTATGAAATCAAAGCGAGGATAAGTCGAATGACAATGGCTCAGTACATGTCCATAGCCACGTCCAAGAGAAGTCATGCCTTGATGGATTGTCCCATGATCCTTAAAGTCCACTATAATCTCCGTTGGATTCACGCCGATAAGGTTTGTTGCTTTGAGAACGATTGGCTTGGTTAAAGTCAAAAGCCGGACTAGCAGTGCCAACTCGAAATCATCTCCACTCATCTCTCCAAGAATAACTCCCCTCAGGATATGCTCATGATGAGGCATATTTGTAAACGCCTGAAAGAGTGCTTTCTGCGCTGGGAGGCACAAGACATAGTTTATGGCTCCGCGGTTCTTGTTGAGACGATAAATAAGCCCTAGGTCACGGAAATCCCATTCAAAATCACTACTCTGCGAGTTGTTGCCAAGGAAGACTGTTGCAAGGCTTTTAGCGAACTTCTTCTTCGATTCATCGCTGCAAGATCTGTAGTACGTCCAAACTACAGTGTGAAACTCGCCTGTTCTCTCAGTTACATACGAATCAATGCTATTTCTTGTGAGTGGTCTTTCCTCAATTGACCGGATGAGGAACATAAACTCTCGTGGCACACGGTTTGTAATCCTCATTATATCCTGGACAATATCGGGTTGGTTCAGGTGGACCTCCAACCATTTTGAAAACACTGTCTCGGATAGTGGGCCAACAAAGTACAATAAGGTATTTCGAAGACTGCCTGGCATAATCTCCAATTCATATTTGGCATGGGCTGTTCCTGTAAATATCGCTCTAGATCCTTTGGATTCAGCTTCCCATCGAGTGAGATCCTTTAGATGGTTCAAGAACAGGTATTTATCTGGCACGTACGGCTCTTTTTGGAATAACTTTCCATGTTCGTCGATAATGAATAGTGTTTTGCGCTCCTTCTGTTTGAATAGGTCGAATAATGCGCGACCAGCCGCAATTGAGCAATCTATAACTTCAGAAGCGTCGAGGAGACTTTCCAGATCAGATGCCGTCAAGATATCCCTGTTGAGAGCGAAGAAGATCCTTAACAGTGCCTTTGCCGATTTTATTTCCTAGAGCTTGACGAGTAATTGGTTGGAATATCGGTTCAATTTTACTATAACAGTTCTTCAAAGTCTCCAAGAATTGTTCTTTGCGATCCTCCTCATAATCCTTTAGTCGTTGCTTAATCCCATTAGCCGCGAGCTCAATGCCTTCAATGTCGTCGCCAAAAAAAAATATTGAATTCCCGTGGCACACATCCGGTGGCTTTTTGAATCTCGCCTCGTAGCTCATTCAATTGTTGGCGGGCTGTTGGGTGGACCTTATTTATGATCACATCCAGTAGCTTATTGAAAATATCAGGCGACAGTGGACCAACATACTCGACATAGTGTGGTGCGTCTCTGAGAATGAGCTTTGCAAATCTTACCGTACTGCTAAACACTACTCTCGCATTATTTGAATTGTTCCAAGAGTTGAAAGTCTTTAGAGGCCATAAAACTGGGAACCTGTCGGGCGCAGACTTACTATTTTTCTGGAAATAATGCACCATGCTCATCCACGACAAATAATGCCTTCTGACTTCTTGACTGGAGTAGGTCACCCAAGATACTGCTGGCGCTACTCACAAAAAGATTTTCCGATGTTTCAATTTCGACCATTTCCTCGAGCTCTGAGGCTGTCAAAGTATCTTTGTTGTTGGATAAGAAGAGTTGACAGATCAGTCGTGATGCGTCAGTATTAGTGTCACAATTGTTAAGTTGATTAGCATCCGCAATATAAAGCACTGGCCAACCATGTGCATATGCCTTGGCCGCAAGGAACCATGAAATGTATGATTTGCCGACGCCCATTGGACCGTAAACATTTCTTGACAGACGACTCACTGTTCTCGAGTTCATTCCATAGCTTCATCATCTATTCAGACATAAAAAAACTCGCGACCTTGATAGCCTCTCGCAAAGAATATTGGGTTCTGACCAAGATCCATTGAAGTAATTCGATTCCCAGCCTGCACCATCAAAAGCGATTGGAACTCGGCGCGAGGTTCTGGTGCACACTTGTTATTTTCGCTCAAATTCAGTATATGTTGGGGTAAAACTACGAGTTCGCCATCGACTGCAATATATCGCTTCAAGGAACGACAGCGCTTCGTAAGGTGCTCTTTGAGCATATAAGAATAGCGAGACTGACGTGAGTATGGAATAAATAAATTTTCTCAAGAATCATCAAAACTATGAATGGAATAAACTCACTTTCTAAATCTTCGTCTTCTGTGTCTTCTAGGCTCCTTTGGGACTTCTTGGGGCTATTTAAAATCCACGCAATAAACTAACAAGAGGATAGTTAGATAGGAGGCTTTGATAAAAGTACTTGTATGCGATAGAGCAGTGGGGAGCCGAAATAAGCTCAAGCAAAAAGCCTCGCGAGAGGACAGTGGAGAGTCAGAGTATACGCACGCACCATGGAGGCGACTTTACAAATTCTTTTTACAGATCAAACTGTGCATTTAACAATTAAGCACCATTTACCACTATGCCTACTACCGCCCTCTGAATAATTCTCTACAAATAGCAAGACTGGATATTTTTGGCTATTCTAGAATGATTTGGGCGATCTAAAAGTCCCATAAATATAAACAGATCTAAAGTCGTCAAGCCGCATCTGCGTATTTATCTCAATCTGGTCTCTCATCTCATCTACAACCCGACGCGGCACCCTTTGATAGGATGACGCTTAAAGTTAGAAGATGAATGGAGTAGAAGCTTCCTTTATTGATAACACTATCCAACACTATCAAACAATGTTTGCAAAGAATAGGCTTTTGAGGTCGTTGAAGCTTACATGTTCTACATCTGGCAACTCTGTAACGAGCTGGCGGTGATTCCCTAGGTTAATATCTCTACCACAAATGTAGACGATTCGGAATCCAGGAAACAACTTCATCAATACCTGTTGTCGGGTCTTTTTTTGGTGACAATAAATCCATCCTTTCCAAAATCAGCTCTATGCTTTCCACCATACATTTCATCCAAGTAACACTCAATCTGATTCCTATCATTATACACCACTTTGGGTGTCTTGTACGGTCGCTTAAATGCTTTCCTTAAATCACTTGAATCTCTGTTATGCACTCCAAACTCGC